CCGGTAGAAGGATTCTGCGTGCTCGACGATTCCGACGAAGGATTCTGCGAGCTCGACGATCCGGTAGAAGGATTCTGCGTGCTCGACGATTCCGACGAAGGATTCTGCGAGCTTGACGATCCGGTAGAAGGATTCTGCGAGCTCGACGATCCGGTAGAAGGATTCTGCGTGCTCGACGATTCCGACGAAGGATTCTGCGAGCTTGACGTCTCGGTAGAAGGATTCACCGAGCTCGACGGTGGATCAGTAGTAGGAGGTCCGTCAAGTAACAATTCCGATGATGGGTTTTTACATCCTTCATTAGGTGGAAAAGAGCATACGTAGCACTTCAACGCCTTCCCTGTTTCAACGAAATCGGACAAATATGAAATGTTCTAAATGTGCATAATATAAAAATCGACTTAGCAATAAATACACGTTCACATATGTGTAGTATTGTCGCATGCGTACTGTGCTAACTTTTGATTACACATATTAAAGAAATATTAGATAAAATCAACAAGTTTACTTAGGTTGTACACGTTCGACTGTGTATAACAGAAATAATAACGTTGAACGTCATTTACTTTTATAACCACCGATCAATGTTTGTAACGTAGTATTTCCTTACCTGACGGAAGGACAACAAGTCCCAGAATGATCAGAGTGGCCAGAAGCCTGAACCTCGAGATGGTCGAGTCCATGATGTTTGAATACGCTTCAGGGGGTATGTTGGCACTTTAAACACTTAAACGCAAGTGACGGCCTGGTTGCTGAAATATGAGTATTCTTCCTTTGCTTATCACGATAAACTTATCTCGATAGAGAGCTCCAATCAATACCATTGGCTTGGTGAGACGCGATTAACACTAACGTAAAAACTCAGATACCGCGAATTCGTTTATTCCCCTTCATCTGTTTCTGCTCGTCTGTCATCTTTTTTTCCTGCCGTTGGAAAAATAAAATCCAGTCATCGCTGATTCGATAAGATAACATCGGTCGATGTTCAAAACTTGCTTACGCAACGAAAATGTAATTATACGATATAGATCGAAATACATCTATGAATTAATATCATTAATATTAATAATCAAGAATTCAACTATGATCGAGCGCCACTGTAATTTCGTTTAGAAGTTACATCGACCGGGCGCATGTGTAATTAGGAAATACCGATAGAGCAGTACCGTGTCGTAGTAACAATTAGTGCTTTCCTATTTCGAAAGCTTGCCGTCAAAATTTTAGATTGAAAACGATTAACAACCCAGATAAAATACTGGGTCGCCTCCGATCCTAATTAACACATTGCGGACCGGTAACGGGGAGTCTCGTTTTTATATGAAGACACTTAGCTAAGCAACTTCGCTAATTACCACGGTATTGAAAAAATATAAAATTTAATTCGAATTGATTATCTATTTAAGATATATTCCACAACAATATGATACCTGAGTTTTTCTATGTACAGTGATATAAGTTGACCTCAGTGAAAACTGCCATCCGCACAATTCAGTTTTCTGAAAATCAGCCGGTCCGCAATGTGTTAATTACAGGTAAACGTAAACCCTATGACACACGAGTTTCGACCCTTTCTTATCGAAGCAGGGGGTTACCGTCGTTGCGATAACAGCTCGAACACTTTGCACTTGCAACGTGTAAAAGGCAAAGTGATGAACGCCAGAGTACCATGAAATTTCCCTTTGTACTCCCAGTCGTTCCAGTTTACCTCTCACTGTCGAATACATTTCGCCGAATAATAAACAAACAAATGCCGCGAGCATAAAACACGGAGGAAAAATAGGACACCATAGCGACGTCCTTGGTCGTTCGGGAACGCGTCAGGTTATCCTGGGATTAATGCGATCTGCGATATATTTTTTATCATTCCTCCGATAGGTGTGGACATAACAAAGTCGTAACGAGTATTTCATAGGTTTTCGCACGGTATAAATACGCGATCTGTTCGCGCAAGAAGCGTAGGAACCGTTTGGAAAAGACTACGAGAAACATGGGAACCTTCGAAATGTTCTTCAGCGTCGCAGCCATTTTGATGATCGCATTTATCTCGCTGAGCAACGCGGAACCCGAAGCTGACCCGTCACCGGAAGCCGTGAGTACAGATATTTCTCTTTATCGGTGTTCCCGACAACTTCGCACCGCGTACGGATCTCTAACGCAGTCGACTCGTTATTCAGGACCCGGACCCTGAGGCGAAGATCTCCTGGAAACTTATCAGTACCTTGGCGAAGCATTTGTTGGGATGACAATGGGTCAGCGATGGGAACCATTAATTTCTCTACTTGTCAACTTTCCATCCTAGAGCTATTGAAATATACAGAATTGCGCGATACGCGTGCATATCTCGATATTTGAAAAATGATCGATCCATCGATGTTCCCTTTACTATCCTGTCCCCTTTTACTGGCTCTGAAGCGGAGAGAGAACAACGTGGGGAAAACGTTGATGAACAATTCGTGAAACGTAGTTGAGCAGTTCGCAAGCAGCTAATCCGAGGTAAACTCGAGCTGCAGCTGACTTGAAACGAAGAAATAATTAACAATACAACTTAGCCGTTATCTGGACATATAACCGGACAAATAGCAGTAGCGATAAGATAAACAACGATACGGTATCGCCGCACGGAGCGCGGTGCCTGTGTACCTTGTCGATTCTAACTTTTCGTATTTATGGTTAGAACCGTTTTTCCCGGGCGACTCGAACGTCGCGAACAGGGCGGAGAGGGACGAAGGAAGAGGGAGGGAAAGGAGGGTAGTTCGAGTCACGAGCGAAACTGCTCGTCGGTTCAACCCTTCGCGGACGAACGTCGACGTTTCGGCGGGCCGAGGTGTTCGCATTCGGAGGACTTGGTCGCGAGCGAGTGATTCGATTGCTCGAGCGACGAGGGACCATTGCGCGGTGTCCTTTTTACATTGTTTAAGCAGTCGATGTAGAATGTAGCTTCGTCTGCTGGAGATTGTGCACGTTTCAAAGAATCTTCGTCCGCGAAGGGTTGAATTCCATCGTCGACGGTCACCGCGAAGCGCGAGCAAATACGCGCGACTTCGACATCCGAACAGAAGAGATCCGCGAATTTTATTAGCGAGACCATCGCGATCGATCGAAGGGATCGCGTCTAGATCGCGAGCAGAGGCGCGAAGTCTCCTGGGATTCCCTGAACTCCGATCGTCGTCGTCTTCAGCGTTAAACTCAACTTCACCGCGCCGATTCGCGGAACGATAAAGAAGCTTATGAAATGACGCGCTATACGCAACTTTCAGATATCCGCGGATTATACCGTTTACGTTGTCCTATTGACAATGAAAAAGAATTACAACATTTGCGGAATTTCTTCATCAATAGCGGATACGCGGACGATCGTGTCTCACGATAGATACGGGACAATTTTTCCACGATTGCCTTAATCTCGATTGCAACGCAGATAATGCGCGCTTAACCTTGCCGCGAGGTATTAATCATTTCTAATAATTTCTTCTAATATCCGGCATGCCGCTCGTATTCTTTTATAGTTCGATACCGAACGCGATCGTCATCGAATTCCAACGAAATCCTCGCGCACGTCGAGCATCGGAGAAATATCACTCTCGTTCGCCGATCACCGATCGATAATCTATTATCATCGGACGCAATCGATCGATCGGAGATCCGCCGGCAATTAGGAGCGGCAGATCGTATCCGTGTTTCGGATTGGAGCATCGCCGTACGCCTGACCCATAAAACGAGATACGCGGAACGAACCTCTGAATCGGGTGAAAGCTTCCACGGAGAAAGCCTCGGGTCCGGCGTTGCCTCGAGATTTGTTTGTTTCGGGCCTGCCTGCTCGCCTGTTCGCCTGCCTACCTGTCTTCCTTCCGGCCTGCGTGGCACGCATTTCTGGCTCGGTCGCGACCGACTCGCCTACTATTTCGTACACTTTTTTAACACGTTGAGTGCTACGTCAGTCCCTAGGGAATAACTGCTCCACTATCCTTCTTGTATCTCATGTATCCAACGAAATTCGGTTCGTTCGGTACGTCATCGAAAGAATCAATGTTTCTGTAAAATATAATGTCGCCCGAATTCGGGTGACGTGGCAGTCAAAGTGTTAACACTTTGCAGTACTACAAAACACTTGGCACTACGGAAATTGAATTGTAAATCAATTGAAGTCTGAACAGATGCACTCTTGGAGTTTCTGTAGCGAAATTCTGAAAAGTCAATTGAAGTGCTCGGTGGTTTTAGTGTTGAACTGTACGGCTGTCGATCTCTTCGACTTTTCCAGATGGGTTCAGGTATATTCTACCGTGCATCGGAAGCCAAGCGAAGGGTGGGACAGTGTTTAACCCAGCTAACTCTTTAGAGTAAAGTCGACGAAAGGTATCGCGGCGGAGAATCCGTCTCGTGGTCAACCGTGACGTAATTTCCTGGTCAGTGGCGGGACACCGGACGACGCGCAGTGCGGTCGCCTCTGGATAAAACCCGTAATTCGCATAATGAAAATTGAAGGTTGGCGATGCGTTGCTAAGTAGTCGTCGTGGAACGATGTTCACTCGAAAACTAACAGTTTTCCGCGAGTGAATTCCGTTTCTCCGTTTGCACAACGCTGCGATCGAAACGCGGCATACCGATTGTCGTTGAGAACACTTAACACTTGTGACGAAGATTTCTAGACTAATTTAACGACAATCGACGTTATTCATTACCCACGGATCAAAGCAAACAACTGTTTTGCTATTATCGTTGTATCATCTTCAAATAAAATTTCCACTTGAAGTAGAATGGACAATCTTGTTGCATTTCCTGCAAATTGTCGATAGCAAATTGGTACGTGAGCTTAGTGGCGAAAGCAAATAGTACGCCAAGGGGTTAATATCCCCGTTAACACTAGGTTTACGGGCATTTATTGTACATTTCATATTATTCCTAAAAGAATCGATGCTCGTTTATTTAGACTGTGGAAACTCTAGATTCGATAGTAGGTAATTGGGGTACACGTCAGTGTGATCTCAATCAAAATCGGCGTAAACATTTACGAAATAATATTTCTAAAATCCAATGTACGTCGTAATTTGACGCGTTCCGTAGACCTAGCGTTAACGAATTAGCAGCAGTCGACGCTAGGATCTTCAGGACACCGAGGAACCGGGTCTCCCACGGCGCGATAACGTTGGAAAGCGAAACCCGAAATGGCACGACGCTGGATTTCCATGGACATCGAAATCTAGTCGACACCTTCGAAAGTGGCGTGTGGACTTTTGTAATTTGCAAGGCGGAAACAGGCGAGGAGACATCTAAGTCGCGTGGGACGAGATCTGCTTTCGTAGGCGGGAAGAAGTCGCCTCGCCTCGTCTCGAGCTCGGAGACGACGAGGTTTAATCTTCCGTTCGAATCGCGAAACGCGATATTTAACACTAGAACCGAGCATTTAATACGATTAACACGCAATTCCTATAAAAATCGTAACAATAGATTATTTTCAGTTTCCTCGGACACTCATTATAGTACTCTAGTGAAACTAGTTTTCAAAATCATTTCGAGTATTCAATGCTTTTAAGGTATTAACCCTTTGAACTCTGTGGGCTCCAATATTGCACCAGTTCTAATATTAAATATTTTAATGAATTTTAAGGGAACTACCTTCAGATTATTAGATCCTAAATCTGAGACGATAATTAAAGGTCTAAATACTGTAACATTATTATATAATATTCAATGCTTCGAAGATATCAATAATTGCCAGACGAAAAAATCGGAACCAGTCATTCCGACTGTTACGGTAGTTCTAGTGTTAACTGTCAGCCGGAAGTGTTCCAAGGAATTATTTACTTACGAAAAACTGTAACATAGGTGACAAGCGGACACAAATTAGAAGTGGCACGACACTTAACGCGTAAATGACGTCCATAGACGTCCATAGAAAGAAAGGTGTTTTTGAAGCACTCACAAATGAGTGTCAACGTGTCAAAGTGTTAGTTATAAATATTACAACGGCGATAAAAATAATAAAATCGTGCCGTCTGCGACATTGGGCCCAGTAAGCGAAGGCGCCATGTCGCCCATGACACGACGTTGCTCCGTGAAGGGTTAACGATTGAAAGAATTCTGTTCCCGTTCCGGTTCTAGCCGTCTACTTTCGCTGGGACCGTATCGAATTGTAGGGTGTCGCCGACGGTATCGGCGATGCGACGCGGAGCGTGACGAAAACGGAAGAAATTGAACCGGCGTTCGGCGTTGTCGCGGCGGGAGGAGTCACGGCTGGCGAGTTTCCATTCGCGTTCTCGAAACGGGAACGAGCGGTCTTTCGGTCAAGTTCAGGGCTAACGAGATCCGATCCGGCCGGCGATCTTTTCCCGCCGGGGAAGGAAGGAAGAGGCCTCTTCCGCTCGCGGGAGCGACGTAAAACCCGAGGCTCGCCTCGATGACGAGCGGAACGCGGCTCCGTCGCCGCGCGTTTCCTTTTCCTTTCGTTTTTATTGCCTTTCGTGGACTCTTTCTCTTTCCTTCTGTACCGTTCTTTTTGCTACTATACCTACCTTTCCTTTTCGTTTCTTATTCGTTTCCTTTCACCGACTCTTTCTCTTCCCTCCCGCGCCGCCGAAGCAATGTACCGACAGTTACCGGGAACCTGACGCTCGTGACGTCATAGGGGCGGAGGCAGTCGCTCTGGGAAATCGAATTGCAGCCCGGAAACGACACTGGGCGCCCTCTGTCGCGCGACCGGATTGGTGGGCGTCAGCGCCGCGGCCAATCAGGAGGGTGACTCCGAATCTGACCACTCGGACGAGAGTGCCAGGATCGCTGCAACGGACGGTGTACTCCGAAATGGCGTGTAGATGAGGACTGTCCACGAACGGTGTCTTTTCACGTCTCCGACGAAGCGAACGGGCGATAAGGAAATGTCAATTGCGTTAATCTCACACGGAATTTGTTGAGACTGATTTGAATCGCGAGGCATTGGGGACCAGTGTTTTGTCATTATTGCATTTTCGAAGGTTTTCTCGGGGATATCGAATTCTACGACGATTAAACCCTTTGCACTCCAAGAGTTTTCTACCGAAAATACCCAACACTTTCCGATGGAATATAATTAACATTCCTTGAAATTGGCTTCACGAAAAATCGTATATAAATTGAAGAAAGGCTATTTTATTTTAATATTTCACATATTAACCCTTTGCACTCGAGAGGTGACCCACAGTCACCATTTGCTTCGACAAGCAAAACTATGAAGTTGAATATTTAGTACTTTAAATTAAACTTCGTACTATTATGTGAAATATTTAAGTAAAACATCTTCCTTTCTTAATTTATCTGTGAGTCATCATTAGATTAGGTTCAAACGTCGTCCGTATCTCGTCGGAAAATCTTGAATATTTCCAGTAAAAAAACCATTCGAGTGCAAAGTGTTAAAACCGTCCGAAGCGAAACATCCACGTGCTCCCGATCGCGAAAGAATTTCTGCCCGAAGGAAGTGATCGTCGTTTACCGTTCGGGCCGATCGGCGACGGCACGTGAACCCGCGCGAGCCACGCTGCCGTCGGCATGCACGAGACAGAGATAATCCATTCGCGAATACGGCGAGTTAACGGCGAGCACCGCTACTCAGACAGGCCGTGTCCCATTAACGCGCGCGTCACGCACGTTTTAACGATAACGTTACGTCGCGGACGCGCGAACACGAAGCCCGCAGCGGCCGCGGGCTCGGAAGACGTTATCCGTCGCGCCGTTCGCGGGAACATCGGATCTTTCGGCGTTCGCCGGTTCGCCGTGTGCATCCTGGAATGCGGTTGTTCCACTCTGCACCGATGCCAACGCCTACGTTCTCCTACGAAGCGACGCGCGTACCGACGCTTATGATGTAAGAACCGCAGAGTGCGGTCGCCTGTGGACGAAACCCTAAAATCTGACTACCCGCGTAAGGAAAATTGAAGGTTGCCAATGTGTCGCTAAGTAGTTACTATACAGAATGATTTTCTTTTGAAAAATCAACGTTTCATGCGAATCAATTCCGTTTCTCTGTTTATATAACGTTGGAACCGAAACGCGAATATCCATTGTCATTGGAAAGACCTCGTAACGTCACCGTAACGTAACAAAAATATAATTAAGTTACCATATTTTGTCCAGATAATGAACGTCCAAAATGATTTTCATTTGAAAAATCATTTCATGCGAATCATTCCCGTTTCTCCATTTATATAACGTTGGAAGTGAAACGCGGAATGTCCATTGTCATTGGAAAGACTTCGTAAAGTAACAAAAATGTAACTATTTTTAAGTAAGCATGTTTAGTCCAGATAACGGCCATTCGACCGCACTGTACTCAGCGTACGGGTAAGAAATACACGCGTACGTCGACGAGCGCCGATAGGTGGCCAACATTGTCAACCCAAGGAGGAATACCTTGGATCGGATGACTAAGGGTTTAGCAATTACAAAGCAGATAAAAGGTGTACTTGTTGTTTCGAAAATCTTCTGTTCCATCGGCTTTATCTGTCGTTGCGACATCCAGGAAGTTTACTTGAAGCGAACGCGACGCTTCGCCATGCGCTTAACCCTTTGCACTCCGTAGGCGCCTCTCAGTGGCCAATTGATTTAACACAGCAAAACTATAGAGTTTGACATTTCATATTAAACTTTGTACAATGCATCGACGTGTGAAATATTCAAATAAAACAGCCTCTTTCTTCAATTTATGTACGATTTCTCGTTAAGTCAGTTCGAAAGAATGTCGTTGGTACTTCATTAACCCTTAGCAGTCCTATTTTACTGCAACCTCTACCTGTTTTAACAATTTTTTCTACATTCATTTGTAGCATCATAATTGTACCATTTAAAGGTAACATTTCAACGACTCCCGAATATTCTTGAATAAATAAATAGAGCGTCGTATTAAGCTTTAATTGAACGAACTAACGTCGACGTGAACCTCAAAGTGAGAAACCAAGCGCACTTCGGACCGCGAAGGGTTAAAAAATCTTGAGTATCTCTAACGAGAAACTTCCGTAGTGCAAAGGGTTAATATTCGCGACGGTCGCTGGCGTTTAGTCGAATCGCGGCCGGCGTCACGGCAGAAGGCTGCTTCGAACCGGTCGCTTGGCGAACTCGTCCTCGATGTCGTGTAGATCCGGCGGATCCGCGAAGCCGCTGTCCTCGTAGCGGGTGCATCTCGACGCCGGCGAGCCATGGGGGTGCATGGGATGGACGCTGCGGAGATAAGCGATGAGAGCGGCCGCTGGAACTCTGTCAATTCGCGGGATCGCGCGTGTTACCTGGTGCATCTGGACGGAGTGTTGTCCAGCGGCTCGTCGTATCTGCGCGACAGCATCGTGAAGTCGCGGTGCGCCGCCACCATCTTCTGCAGCCGCGAGATGATCTCGTAGTCGGCCGTGCAGATCGGCTCGGACAACGATTTCGCCACGGACACGCGGAAGCTTTGCAACTGAAACGGGAAACCGTGTGAACCGATCGGGAGAAGCGATACAAGCGATTCTCGGCGGTGAACACAGAACACGCGTTCTTCGGAATTACGCCTACTTGAGACTCCCTTTTGGTGACTTCGGAGAGGCTCTGCTTGACCTGCGCGAGCTCGTCTCTGAGCAGCTGCAGGGAATGATCGTTTATGGACCTCTCCTGCTCGGCGGTCTCCGTCGCGCTCCTCATCTGTTCCTTCAGCATCGTCAACTTCCGGGTGCAACGGGTGCGCAACATCTCGCTCTCGACCAGACGCTTCTGCAGCTCCTCTATCTTCCGACTGCGCTCCAAAGCCGCTATCTGAGAAACATAGGAGACGATGAGTGCTCGATACTACTATCGAGCGAATAACGATCGGGCCGCGAACACGTTTCAAAACGGAATATTCCGCTGTGAAACATTAATTCCCGAGGGAGATTTTATCGAGGAGAATCAGATACGATACAGAAACATGATACGCGCCTTGTAATCAGCCGCTTCCGTTAATTGGGAGCCCAGCTCGCGACTTCTCACCTTCTCCTCCGAGAGCTGCGCCTGCAGACGGTCGATCTGCTTCGCCAGCTTTTTCGACCTTGAAAGTACGTAAGATTCTGCAGAGTCGAAGCTGTCGGAGCGCGAGCGACGAAGCTGAGGGTAAAGGGCAAAGGGGGCGCGTACCGAAGGTTCGCCTCGTCGCGTTCCGTTTGCAGCAACGATTTCATCCTGACGCTGTCCTCCTGAAGCGACAGTTTCCTGCGGAGGAGGTCCAGGTGGAGATCCCTGCGCTGCAACTGCTCACGGAGCGTCCTGACGCGGCGTTGCAGCTGATAGACCACCGACGTCTAAACGGAGAAGCAGAATGGAAACGAAAGAAAGGCGGCTGGCCGTGTTTCGTCGCTCCTACGCGTTCCTGTACGATTGCTTGTACGAGTCACGGCGTCAACGAACCACGCGTTTCCCCGGAACGCTGGCGAGTTCCGGAAAAGCTACTCTGACATTCGTGGCGCCGCACAGTGCGGCCGAACGGCCGTTCGCTGGACAAAACTCGATAATTTAACGGATACGAGTGATACGAGCAAAGCGCTTCGGACGAAGATTGCAAGGTATAGAGCTAGACGTACGGTGGTTACATTTTTGTTAGATTTTCGTTACATCACGGGGTTATTACGAAGTGTTTCCAATGCAATGGATGTTTCGCGCTTCGATTGCAGCGTTATACGAACAGAGAAACGGAACGGACAGAAAACTTCTATTTCTGCGATTGAAGTGATCTTCTATAGGGGCTGCTCAGCGACAGATCGTTAACCTTCAATTTTCGTTAGGCGAGTAGCCGAATTCCGTGGTTTTGTCCACAGGCGACCGCACTGCGCGCCGTAGGCTTACTTCTCTCGCGGAGGGGAACTCATGGAAGGACCGCTCGCGCTGGATCCTCGGTAAGGTGATGCAGTCGCGGTTAGAGTACTGCGGGAATGGAAGGCGCAGAATTCGCGAGAGAGGAACACAGAAGAAACGAGACGTTAGTAACGCCGCGCCGTTGAACGACGAATGGTATTTCAATGTCAGGTATTTTGCACCTTGTCCACCAGCTTATCGGTCTCCAGCCTGGCCAGCTGTTCCGCTCGGACCAGCAGCGACTCGGTGTGAAGATCGAGCCCCATTTCCTCGGATATCTCGTCCATCTGCATCGCTTTGCCGAGCCGATCCAGGAAAGTGACGAACTGAAAACGTTCGACTCGATGTTGGTCGGTTCGATCAACGGCTGCCGAAGGATCCCGATCGAGAGTAGCGTTCGAAACGTTACGCGATACCGAAACGTCCACGGCGGACGCGTAGCTGCGCAAACTGCACGCGGCTTATTCGACGCTCGGAATGCCGCGTGCGAGGAGAACGAGCACAGGGAACGTTAATTACAATTATACCGTCTGCTTATCCCTGTTCAAGGTGTCTTTCGACAACTCGCAACTGGACAACTCGGATTCCAACTTGCGGATTTTGCTCTCGAGGTGCGACCGCTCGTCCTCCATGCGTCGTATCTTCGAGACGGTGGTCTCGATCAGCTCGCTCTGCCGATTCGTCGATTCCGTCACCGTGTTCACTTTCTCCCGCAGGTTTTGAATGGTCTACGAGGAGAAAGGAGAGTCTCAGAATCAATCGGCGGAGCGTGTTCCGGTTCGTCCGGCCGTTTATCTCGCCGCGGTGCTTATACGGAACGCTATGAATAATTTTAAAGATCGGATACAAGCGCTTGATCCTTGTTCTCGGCTAGGATCTCCCTGACGCGGTCTTTGATCGCGTTCTCGTGGGACTCGACGAATCTGTTCGGCCCGCCGAGGAGGACCGCGAGCGTCTCGAGGATCCGCCGCGTGTCGTTCTGCGCGCGCTGCAGCTTCTCCTCCCGTTGCTTCGACTCGTCTGCGAACAGGGAAACAGGGAAATGGGGCCGAGTTTATTCCTGAACGGTTTCAAGCGGTGTTCCGTGACGATCGACCACCTCTCAACTGACAGATCAGCGCCTCTTGACTCGATATGTTCCCTGTCGCGTTCGTTATGCTCCTGTTCGCGTTCACGAGCTTGTCCCTCAGCTCGCTCAGCTCCCTTTCCGCGACTCTGTGCTGCATCTCCAGGCACTCTTTGTCCTGCGTGAAGCGACCGACAGCGGGGAGAAGCGTTAAACGGTTATCCGAGGACTCCGCGAGCTCCGTCCGGCGTCCGTTATTGGGCCGAGCGGCGCACACACCTGTTTCAGACGGTCCAGATCGATCAGATACGAGGACACTTGCCGCTGAAGTTGCTCCTTGTCCGCGACAGCTCGGTCCAACGCGTCCCGGCAGCCTCTGAGGTCCACCTGGACGCTGGCGAACTGCGCCTCCGCGTTAGCGCTCTTCGCGCGAAGACGGTTCGCCTCCTGGACCAGCTCCTCCGCCTTGTGGACCACGATCTCGGGGCTGGGGTGGACCGTCTCGCAGTATTCGACGTTCAACGCGTGCGCCAACTGCCGCGCGAAGTCCTTCAAATCCGAACAACGAAGCCTCGTTAGACAATCGCGGCGATACCGCAGCAGATCCCAGTGATCGATTTCAAACTGTCGAACGCTGCGAGAGTCGCTCGTCGCGAGCTCTTTCATTGAAACTTTCGCGATTAACAACGTTCGCCTAAAACCCGGCAAACCTGGAGACTCAAACGGGCTCGCTCCTTCTGCTGAATCTCCTCGGAGATGTTCTGCTCCAGCTGGCGAACCTTCTTCTCGCAGTCCCGAATCTTCTCCTCGCGATACTTCAAGTCCCGCTGCAGCCCCTGCGCCGTGATCTCGTTGCGGCCCTGGGCGGCGTACAGATTCCTCTCGCGTTCCTCCAGTTCCTGGCGCCGCAAACGACAAATGACGTTGCCTGAGTGGCCAACGGGGAAGGTTCGAATGTTCAAAGATAAAAGATTCACGGCTCGGCAACCTGTATGCGTTTCTTCAGGCTGGAGACGATGGCGGTCTGCCTGGCGGCTTGCTCGCGCAGCTGATCGGCCTCCATCTGCATCTCCGCGATCCGCTGGTCTCGAGATCTCACCAGGCCCTTCATCTCTTGAAGCTGAACGACGCGACGGAACAACGGATCAATCAACGCTGCGGAGGAACAGTGTCGAGGGAGGAACGTGGAATTGGTTTACCTCGGACGTAAGACGATCGCGCTTGTACTCCAACGCTGCCAATTCGCTCCTCAATGTGGTCGTCAGGTCGTGGCTCATCGCGTCTTCGTGGGTGGTCTGAAACAAGAAGCGTCACGGTCTCGTGAGCACGTCTACAGATTTCTGTTTTGGGGCAGAGAGAGGGGGGGAGGCGTCCAAGGGATTTCTGCCCTCGGTATAATTTCATTTGCACAAGAGCACAAACGATCGATAAAGGCTGCACCGCCTACGGGACGTCCCCTGTAATTACTCGCCTCTCCACGTACTGCGGGCTTCGGTAATTAAAACATCGTTAAGCTCCGTGTCGCGGCGGTCGAGATACGCCGTCGTCTCGACAGATCGAGCCGAGCTTGATACAAACCGATCGGTATCGCGACGTTCGAAGCCGGTTACGGTGAAAGATTGGATCGTTGCAACGCGATTAGATACGTCCAACGTCACACGGTTGGACCTCCCGTCGCGAATATCCTCGCTGTCCAAGGAACATCGAACCGCGAAGATGTGGCCGCGACTCTTGCGGAACCGTGCCAAACTAGTTCCGCTCGCGACGGAGAGCTACGTGACTCGATTTCATTACATCGGATACATAGAACACTTCCGAAGGACGGTTTGTAGTTCAGCGGTACCACTCGCGGTACCACGAACAACGGATCCGTTTATCTCTACGACGGTATCGTCTGGAAGGTAAGTTCGTGCTTAATCGCGCTACCGAATTTACGGCATTCCCGCACGAATTCCTCGATCGAAAAGGATTTATCGATTCGAACGTCGATCGATATCACTATCAGCGTATTCCTAGAATCGGTATCAATTGGAACTCGAAAAGTATTACAACAATGTACGCGATTCCTCGAATCGCGGATAATGTTCGCTCCGATTTCTTTGTTGGACGAGATAAAGTGCAGATCGTTTGCACGATCGTGTACTCGGTACGCGTTTACATTGTAAGCGCAAACGGTAGTTGGGGATTTTACTCGTTTCGCGACGACAGAGGACAGTTTCGTCCGCGATAAAGCTGCGCGATCTGTGTCACCGTTCCGATAAAGTTCTATCAATCTTTTTCTGCAAACACCGATAACTTTCTCCGCGTTCATGAATAATACCGCGCGACGACGATCGACGGTCCGATTTCTGGCAATCGGTGGACGCTCTACGTATCTCGCTCGCGACGAGCGTAAGCCGCTGAAGCATTGGCGGTGGGACTCCCGCGTTTTCCGCGGCGGTAAACAGTGCTGTCCCAACAATGGTCGCGTTTCGCACGCGTACGCGCGGTGGAAAGTTGTGCGCTGCCGCATCGACGCTTGAATCCGTCGTCCCTAACACACGGGGAATCGTTGTCGGACGGTTGCGGCGGTACGTTGTCGAGGGAGCCACCGCCAACCGATGTAGGTGCGGGGCGACAGGTGAAATCGATTCCACGCAACGCTATGGCAACGAGGCGTTTGCTCCGTGCACGCGAGTCAATACCTTTTCGATTCACGAGAGTGGCTACGAAAGCACGTGCGATACACTCGGAACAAAAGGCGAACACCGATGCCCGCCGCGTAACGCGTGCAACTCTCGAGAACCGAGCGACCCGCTCGGAGCGGATGAAATGAAATCGAAGCCGATTGAAACCGACTGGACCGATACTATATTATTCTCCCCGTGATTGCTCGATTGCATCGCATCGGGTCGTGAAGCGAGTCGAGGAAAGAAGCGGTGCCAAAGGCGAGCTCGCGATTCGTTCCCCTCGAATCGCGAGGAAATCCTTTCGTGCATTGACAAGCGGGACGCGTGGCCGACGTATCTAGCGAAGCTTCGTGCGAGGTAACAACGAGGTGTGCTCGTCTGTGAGTCGAGTTCGCCGACGATGCAAGATGGTGCGACAAGCTGTGCTTCAATCCGCTTTACATAGGAGTCTCGGTTAACACTGTTTCCGCCGAAAGTGTCAGAGGCCACTGAAATTCCAACTGAAAATTCGATCGTATTTCCTCGATTGGACGTTTTCTACGAGACAGTTTTATACTCGTTATCGGAGTGGGAAAGTCAATGCAGAATATAGGACTCGGAAAATAATTTTCAGTGGAAACTTCGGGTGTCCTTTGACACCTCCGGTGGAAACAGTGTTAAGAAGACCGGACGACACCTTTCGGGGCGACGATATACAGAGAGTCTCGAACACCCGGAGATCTTCCTCGGTCGTTTCGTTCGCTTGTTTCACCGGCGTCTCGGCCGCCTCTTCGTCGCTCGACATTTTCTTGACTCGAATGAACCGCGCCGGTTACCGACTCCTCCTCCTCTCTCCCTCTTCACGCGGGTTTGCTCCGTGGATTCGCCTCGTCTCGGAACTAGCGCAGCCCCTCGCACGACATATTCGCGCTTTCTGTGCAGAAGTACACCGGCCGATGCGACGTTCGGGAATGGAAAAGCGGCTCCAGCGAGGGCAGAGCGTCGACGCGCGGCACGCGTCGCTTCGCCGACCCCTTGCCGGTGAACCTGAAAATAATCGAAATGTATCGACCGATCGGACCAGCTCCTTCGCTCGCTCTTCCTTCGTTTTTCCTTGCAAGGCGCACACGTGCCGCGTTTCGATCGCGTGGACACCTGCAAAGTGTTGATAGACTTCCTCGAAGTATGGCGTCGCAGGTTTCGTACGAATATACTGTATACTACCTAACACTATTTTTACCGAAGAACAATAGTTACATTATTTTCCAAGTATAGTCTGTATTCTGAGTTGAGTTTTCCACTTTTCTAATAATGATTGTTCAATTAAGTATAGGAACTGTCCAGAATTCCATTGGGGAAAATTCATTAGAATAAGAAAATAATTTTAAGTTAACATTTCAAAAGGTGTCTTTTGATACCTACACCTCTGTAGGAGAATTTTTTACGCGGTCTCCGTGTCATCAATGTAATATCGCTTTCGAGACTGAGAGAATTGTCCACCGTGCGATTATGTTAGATTGGACTGTAATGTGCACAACTATCGCTGACAGAGAGAATTGCGCCGTAATGGCGTACCGTTCAAGATGATACGATAGACACTGTAGCGGCGTAGTTGAAAGGTTGATTTTCGGGATACGCTTGTCACGTGAAACCGAGAATATATTCTCGAATAGCGTTGAACGTTCTCGATGAATTTTTAGCGTGATAGTTTCCATTACTTCGATCTTTTATGAGAGCTGCGAGATTCGAAATCTTGGCAGTAACTACGATAACGATTGTAATGAAACTAATCGCTTCGAATAATAAACTTTCCAGTCACGAGCTATTTTTCCAATATTTCCCGTTAAACACGGTTTTTATAACAGCCGTAACGGTGTAGCCGTGAGATAGTGACATTTGAAACGCAGCGGCCGAGATAAGAGAGATAGTCGGGCCGAATTATTGCTTCTAAATACCTATATATAGCGACGCAACGTTTGACATTGCAATATAAGCAAAAAATAGGTAACCATGAGAGCCATAACATTCGCGCTTGCTATTGCAACCTCTGCAATGATTGCAATTAATTCTGTATTCTATGTGGCAGCGGAAGCTGCTCCTGAGGCCAATGCGGTGAGTTTTATGCAGAATGCTGTTCGTGTCTCTTACGGAAATTTTCTTGAAATTATTTCAGATTGTTCGAAATTTTAATGAAACAACGTTATTTTTCAGGACGCCGATCCATTGAGTCAAGCGGCTTTAGCTTCCCTCGTTGGCGGCAAATAATGTTCGTAATGACGATTACGAGAATAAAATAAACTTGTTTCGATAAATTTATTACTGTATGTAAAGTATTGTTATCATTCGAACGTATGGTGAAATCTATGAAAATAAACATTCCTTTGAAAAAATAAAACTGTTCTCTTCTTCATTCGTTAGATAATAATCTGATAATTATGCTTTCTTTGGCAGCATCATTAAAACTATCATATCGGCGATTCTGTATTAGAAATTGCTGAAAATTCAATTCATAGTTCATTAAATGACCGTTCCGTCAAGACAGATGTCGCTAGTGCCTTAGAGCATTGTTGACCAGATCGATATTACAGAATAATTGACGTTAGTCCGCATTGAACGGATGTAAACGCACTAAATATTTAATACTACCAAACAGAATATCTAATTTCATGAATTGTTTGCAATACCTGTACAAGCAGCGGATAGACTAGGTTTATGATTTAACGTAAATTTACTTGTTATCATTTCTACATCGTTTGCAACTCTACCAGCAGAGGTCAAATAAATCGAAAATAGAAAAAACAAATTCTTTTGTTATTTTTCATGTGAATATAGGATCTTTCTCAATCATAGTCATGCATGTAAAGCAAATCTTTATGATTGTTAAAACTGGTACAGGCCTCAAAACCGGTAATGATGCTAACAGTAACGAGTAACAAAATAAGTTAATGTGTTAATGATGATTTTAATTTTTCTTATTTTACTAAGGAATTATATTACCATTTTTGTCACTTGCGACGTTACCAGCAGATATAGATAAAAAAGATGTCTCTTTTTTCTTACGATTGGTATTTCAGAGCACCGAGCTGAAAGTCCCATAAGACGTCGAGTCTATTCTGTTTGTCGTTTATGGTCACAGCACAGTGGAGTGTATCAAAATGGAGAGAGTGTTTATTATTTTGTAACGCATGAAGTTGAATGTATAAAATATAGAATACTTCATTTATATTACAGAAGATAACGTAAAATGTTGTTTCGATTTTGTAACGTATGCTGTAACAATTTGAATTCCACATTCGTGACAACTTTAAGACGCTATGTAAATGATTTTGTCATCGTGTTTTCTGCCGCACATTTTTCAGGTTAACTTTCTATATATATATATGTGTGTATATGAATTTTTCATGTAGGCAAGAGCTGCTGCTAAATCGCGTAAAAAGGAAAAAGCGTTACCGATTGAGTCAACGGAGACTCGGAACGAAGAATTGAAAGTAATAAGTTGTAAAAGAAAGGATTTCAATTTTTACAAGGGCACAACTTATCCAAAAAGAGGAGTCATACCTTTAGCATCAGACGGATGGTTGCATCGAAAATCAAGAGGAGATTATTTCTATATACTTCCATATGATAATGTACTTCATCTGTGCAATTATTGCTCACTAAGTGTACGATTTCTATGGAATCTGTAATTTTCATTTTCTTTATAGGAAAGCGAGAAAGACACAGACAAACGTTTGGAAAATAAGACATTTGATGATTTCAATTTAGATCCCTCTATATGTAGCCAATTTGAGAAGTTTGATATTAAAAAACCTTTAGAAGTTCAACAATTGGGAATACCAAAAATACTTAATCGTAATAATGCATTGTTGACAGCAGAAACAGGCTGTGGAAAAACATTAGCATATCTGTTGCCGTTGATGCATCGGATTTTGCAATGGAAACAAATTATTCAAAAACCTATGAATCAACCCTTTGCAATAATTCTGACTCCTACTAGAGAACTGGCAGTTCAAATTGCAGTTAGTATTAATAATAATAGTTAATATACATATTTATGTAATATGCTACACCAGTTCATCTATAAAAATATCTTTCAGATAGAATCGATCAAATGGTCTAAAGAGCTTGGTATTAAAGTAAGAATGATCACAGGTGGAAGAACAAAACGAAAAATCAGAAATCCTCAGATTGAATATGTAGATATTCTAGTTGGTAGCTTTGGTGTTATCAGTAAATTGTTCACAGTTGGCGTTTACAAACCTGATCTTGTAAGGTGTCTAATTTTAGATGAAGTGGATGCCTTGTGTCATTATACATTCGAAGATAAAGTGAAGCATTTTCTAAATAAATTCCCTGTACGCAAAAACGATCTTTACGGATATATGAAACTGTACGAAGAAGTAATATAACGTATCATTATTTATACAGATAGCACATCATCAACAACTGGGCGATGACGGATTCCCGAGTACGGTACAACTCGTTTTAGCTTCAGCTACAGTTCCTTCACGTTTGGCAAATATTCTGGCTGGTATCGTTGACGTAAGTGGCACGATATAAAGAATAATTTCCGTATGACAACGTTTTAATACACGATGATACGTAGGTGAACTCTTTGGAGCATGTGTCCACGAAAAAGTTACATAGAATACTGGTGAAACAAAAGTTTATAAGAATGGGACCAAGCGACAAACCCGCTGAACTTTTAAAGTATATCAAACCTAAGGTTGCAAAGAAGCACTCTGTAATTATATTCAGCAACACCAGTGCTACCTCTTACTGGCTTACATTGTTTTTGAAAGAATGTGGTATAGAAACTACAAATTTACACGGTGACATGCCTTTGTCTCAGAGAATAGGAAAATACGGAAGCTTTTTAAATAGGAAAACGTACGTGCTGTCAGCGACGAACGCAGGTTCCAGAGGTTTAGACACGGTGATGGTTAATCATATACTGAATTATGATTTCCCATTGGACACGGCCTCATATATTCACAGGTACGTGGTTAGGACAGTCCACGTAAACAATCCATATAAATCTCACGTTTAATTTAAAAAAAAATATGTTTGCTCAGGTGTGGTAGAACTGGTAGAGTAGGTACCATAGGTAATTGCATGGTAACAAATTTTATCAGCAAACCTGCGGAAGTGGCAATAGTTAAAACGCTCGAAAGGGCCGCGAGGAGATTGAAACCTATTCCCGTGTTCGACACTTTGCATCAAAAAGAAGATGAGGAAGAGATGATGACACCAGAGCCGCATTACCCTGAACGAATAGTTGAATCTTTGGACGATCCGAACGATATTCCATTCTAAAGCGCGTATGTTTTTCACTTGTTACAAATAAACGACATGTTCATAAGAATTCACCACCTCTCCGATCTTCGTTTGTTATTTCTCTTCTATCTTCGTGGTCCGCTCGATACACGCGAACTTCCTCGGGCAAGAAAAGCGCGATGAAACCTTTGCAATGACCCTCTCGATAGGATCAAAGAATCGACCGAACGTCGTTGCCCTTGCATCAATTCGTTTCCACGAAAACTTCAAACTTTCCGCTCGCCAGTAACACGTTGACTGCCACGGTCACCGGTGACCGGAGCTTCCCAATTACAAAAACAATTACAATAAGAACATTGATATTGAATCAAAATATCCAGTAACAATCAGCTAGATAATCTTATAACATGAGTACTGTAATACTAAAACTTTAATAATCATTAAATTATTAATAATATTTTCCTCTATTATAAAGGAATAAATCTTACTATAACAAAACGCTCGAAATTCTCGTGGCAGTCAACCTGTTAACGCTGTAATGTTACTCTCTTCATTTCTAGCGGATCCCATGATTTCTTAAAAAAACAACAGCAAGAGCCTTAATCACATTTGCTTAAAATGATTCATGATTTTTTCCCAGTTATTGAAAAGATGCTTCTCTGAGAACTAGAGAAATTGATTTAGCAATACAGAAACCACAAATCAGTTGAAGTCTCGACGGTTGCACCGTTTAGTTTCCACAGAGGAATCTGAAAAAGACAGTTCGACTGCTCGGTAGTTCCAGCGTTAATCGGCTAGAGCTTCGAATTTCAAAGTTTTCGTCGGAGGAAGGAAATTACAACCCACACGTGAATTCCTATCCATCCGTCGATCCACCGTTCCATCATGTCCGGCGACACTCCCACACCGACACTCCCGCCTACGTAGAATATCTAGCAAATAGAATTACCGTAGGGCAGACCGCACGTCTAGACCAGTATATTAATCGCGACGCGTTTTAATGAAATTAAAGTCGTTTCCGCACACGGACATTCGTGCTTCCTCGATTAGGGTGTGCCCACACCTCGACTATACGCCCGTTGCTCCCCAGAGAATGCCGTCGTAGCTGTGAAATAATTTTCTCGTTCGTCTAACTTGTGTCCGAGCTCCAAATATTATTTCTATTCGTCTATTCGTGGCAAACGAAATACCCGAAGACAAGCGGAAGCAAATAAGGGACACCCCGTACTTCCTACGTCATAGTCACCCCAAATAAATATATTAACCCTTTGCACTCGAGAATATTTTTCGCAAGAAATGTACCTTAGTTTCTGGTGAAATATCAATGGTATTTTTTAGAATTTATGTAAAGAGATACCTTGCATAAATTAAGCGACGAAACTATTTTATTTCGATGCACGTGTTGGTAGACTGTAAAATAAGTTAATATTGAATTTTAAATTTTATAATTTCATTGGGTTGAATCTAATGGCGACTGGAAGGCGCCTCTCGAGTGCAAAGGGTTAACCCTTTGAACTCTGTAGGCTCCAATATTGCACCAGGAAAGATATTTTACTGAAATATTTCCCATAACGATACAAAGTTTAATTTAAAGTACTAAATATTTAACCCTTTGCCATTTGATTTGACGCATGGAAATGATAAAATTTAGAATTCAATATTAAATTTTTATATAACGCATCCACACATGGAACATCGAAATAATGGTTCTGTTACTTAATTTATGCAAGGTATTTCTTTATGTTAGTTGTAAAACATGTCATTGATATTTCATCAGAAAATAATGAACATTTGTCGAGAAAAATATTCTCGAGTGCAAAGGGTTAATTTCATAGTTTTGCTGTATCAAATCAAACGGTGACTCTCACTCACCATTTGATTTCACACAGCAAACTATAAAATTCGATATTTAATATTACACTCGGTATAACGCATCACTTTGAGAAACATTGAAATAAAACAGCTTTGTTCCTCAAACGTATGATTTTTCTTCGAATGAATTCCACAAAATCTCGTTCTTATCCCATCGTGAAATATTAAAATATTTCCAGTGAAAAACTGCCGAGTGCAAAGGGTTAATATTCCTACCGAGAAAGATCCATCCATCCATCCAGTCCATCCGTCCGATTCGTATCGCTCTGATCGAAGCGACGAGTCCAAATAAACGCGCGTAAAGCGAATAAATTTGAGAATTTGCGGACGAGCCAGTCTCCTCGTGGTGACTCTCGCTGCGCCTATAGATCCCGAAGGCACGCGGCGGTCAGCCTGAATGGTGGGGAGTCTCGACGATCGGCCTACTAGAAGAGACCTCAGTAGAGTCGCGGCGCGCGATCCGTTAGCGTCGTTTCCTCGTATTCCGTCTCGAGTCCGTTCTGCGTCGACTTCACCGTACGATTTCTCCGTTGAACTGCGTCGTAGCGATGCGTCCGGGCTCCGTTTAGTTTCACAGTGTTCCAATTCTCAACACTTCCACACAAGATCGGTAACCAAACGATCCGAGGGTAAGAGCACACCGATCACAACCGATCGCGTTCGCGACACGCGACAAGTCCGGGTTGACGAACCCTCCGAAGCAGCGGGACACACTGGAAGACCGTCGAACGTTCCCACGGAAATGCACCGCAGTGTCGGATCGGTCGGATGAGAAAACTCGCGGCGCACGATATACGGTGGACAGTATAGCGAACGACAGTACCGAACGGTGGGCGCACGGTGCCACGAACGTTACGAGAAAACCGAGGGCAGTGACGCGTCGGCACGTTACGCCTCTAGCGGAAAAAAGATCGATCTCGAGGAAAAGATCCGCGGCGTGATCGGCACGGTCCACGAACTGCACTCGTTGCATCTTCTCTCTTTCTATCTTTCTCTCTCTCTCCCCCTCTCTTCCTCTTTGTCTTTCTTCGAGCAAGGTGTACGAAGTTCGAAGAGAACACCGTGTCGCTTACTCCAACGTAAAGGCATGTTCTATGAAGTTGCCCGCGATCCGAGCCGCAACGGACCAGGAAACACGAGTGCATAGTATCCCGGTGATTCATCGATCGAGGCGTCGATCGTTCGTCGCTCGTCGTCCAGTGGAGTTGTCGCGAGCAAAGGGAACGGAGCGCGAGGGAATAGAGAGAGATCTCGTGTTCGTGCCAGTGTGACATAGACGTGTTTGATCCAGTGGTGGTGCTGCTGCTGGGCTGGTTTTGATTTATTCGCCGGCGACAGAGGGAAACCGGAAGCCGCTATATTGGAGAAGAAGCGGGAAAGCGGCGTGCCGCTGTTCTGTGTACCGCGGCAGAGGCGATCGTCGCAGCCGGAAAATGTAAGTCGCCGATTTGTTCGCCGAGGTTTACGATCGCTTGCCGATCATCCCCTTGTTTCTTCGGAGCGGTCGCGCTTTCTTATCGTTAACGAGACGCCTCGCGTTCGAGGGGGACGCCGATAGCTCAAGGTCAGCCTGCTATTCATTCAGAGCGCACATGTATAGACGCAACGTGTACGTGTACGTGGGCTCCTGTGTGGCTCGCGTTATATTACGGATTACGGATTATATCGTATTAATATGTAAATATAAATTATATGTGATACGTGGTATAACAGGCCTGGCCGATCCGAATGGTTTCATGGGTTTGATGACGCGTAACGTTACGGGCCACTTTAGATGCAACACTAGAGCTACCAGTCAAAATGACTGCTTTCCATTGTTTTGTTTCACAATTATTGATATCTTAACAGCATTGAATATTCGAAATGATCTTGGAAATAAATAGCTTTCACTTGAATACTATAATGAATGTCTGAAGAAATCGAGAATATATTGTTAGAATTTTTATAGGGATTGCATATCAGTCGTGTTAAATCCTCGGTAGTTCTAGTGTTAAGAAATGTAGAAATGCAAAATGAACGAAACTTTATTACACTAGGATTCATTGTAATTCACTCGAAAGTCTTAGTTAATGAGATATTCGTTTATCCTCTCTTTCACTTTTCTGTAAATATTAATGACGCTAATTTTAGCTCCTTTTTGGTTGGTTAACAATGACATGCAAATGATCATTTATTTAATATTATTCTTATACATGCAACGAGAAACGAAAGTTTCAATGGAAATGGAAAATCGCTCCATGTTGGCCAGGCCTGAGATATAAAACATAAGATACAACATAACCTATGTTATACATAACATAGAATATACTAAAAATATAGAATATAATAAACATAATACATAACAGAATATATAATAAAAATATAATAAAATACAATATAGTACCTAACGTAATTGTATCACGTTTTTCATGTTTATAAACGTTTTTTATACATATATATATAATAAAAAAGTACTATATAGGTACTTTTTTGTATTTTATTATATTTTTGTTATATATTCTGTTACGTATTATTATATTCTTATTATATAATACATAATATAATGGGTTATGCCATATCGTTATTACGTTTCGTCTGTGCCCTCGCATCGTACGGAGGACGCTCGCGTCCCTCCCCCTCCCTGCATGTTTGTACACACGAGTTTCCATGAATATATCCCCATGAACCGGTGCACACGTTCGAATCGTAGTTTCCGGCTGCCAACCGGATCTCCTCTTCGACGACGATCCGCAACCACCGCACGAGTGAATCGAGTACAACCTACCGCCGCGTTTAACCTGTTAACTGTGGAATTTCGCTTGAAAAATCCCTCGTTCTGCGCGCGATAAAATCAAAAAATGGAGCCTGCACTCGTCGAACGCAGGACGAATGCACGTAGAGTATATTTTAACATGAACGCCGCACGATTTCATAGAGAAAAATACGCAAAATGGAAAAATACAATATTAACCCTTAGCACTCCAAGTTGTTTTGTAAACTAATTTTTATAGTATTTCTAGCGAAAATTAGAAATGCTATAACATTTCGTCTTAGTACAAAATTTGGATGTGTGGAAAATCGAATAATTTTGTAGTTTCTTCAAGATTCATTAAAATATGTAATATTATAACTGCTGCATTATCGGAGCCTACAGAGTGCAAAGGGTTAAGATGACGCGTATACTCGTCGAACACAGTTAACTGGTTAAACAGTGAAACGAAGTCGCGATGGAGCGAGGAGTCTCGCTTACAGAGTCGCCGGAACGCGTACCATTCGACCGACATTTTCCCTTGGTTCGCGCAGCTCTTTCATCCTCCAAGCGGTGCTCGGATCGCACGCTTCTTGTAGGACAGTCGAATCGGGGACGCGTTCGCACGTGGTTCGTCTTGGAAAGCGTAAAAGCGCATTTCGCGTCGCGTCCAGCACTTTAACCAGTTAACTGTGCTCGACGAGTATACTCGTCACCGGGAAGTTGCAGGCTTTTGCGTCACGGCGAGTATACTCGTCATGAAAAGTAGCGACCATTGGCTTTTCACAGAAATTACAATTTAAATGGTCACTACTTCTTACAATGACGAGTATACTCGTGACACAAAATCCTGCAACTTCTCCATGACGAATATACTCGTCACGACATAAAATCCTGCAACTTCTCCATGACGAATATACTCGTCACGACACAAATTCTGCAACTTCTCCATGACGAGTATACTCGTCAAGCACAGTTGACTGATTAACTGCCAGGTAAACACTTATCGAAACTCCCATGCAATCGAAACGGTTTTCCCAGTAAACCGTAAACCGAAGAGTCAAGGTTCTTCGTAATGATTGCTCTACTATCTCCCTTATATCTCGTACATCGAATAAAACTTAGTTCGTCCGATAAGTTACCAAGAAGATTCACGTTCGAGATTACGCGAGGTATAGCGTCACCGAAATTTCGGTGACGCGGCAGTCGAAGTGCTAGGGACGCTGCGTCCGGCAATGCGTTCATTTGGAATTCGTAATTACGGCCGCTCGTAATTTCCGATAAGCGGCCGCGTAGGCTGCGAATTCCTACCACCCACGTGACACTCGTGGACCGACGAAAGCCTCGGACGACACGTTCCTCGGAGGGACGCGTCGGCCGATTTCCGTGGAATGTCGGCCATTAACACTGGAACTGCCGAGCATTTAACCCTTCGCGGACGAATGGTGTTCGTAGTATACGAAACCTTCGGCAAACGAATCCAAATTATACGTCGAATGCTTAAATAGAGAAAAAGATACTATGTACTGATCCCTTGCTGTTTCGCTAATTAAATCATTTGCTTATCACACAGTATGCTGAATATCAGAGTTTGACCTTGCTGAATGTCGACATTCCTCGAAGGGTTAATGCGATTAATGTGATCTCTATAAGAATTGACAATGGATTGTTTCTTCAGGCATTCGTTATATATTATTTTCGAGATCCGTTGGAATATCGATGCTTTTAAGATATCAGTCATTGCGAAACAATCGAAACCAGTCATTTTAACCCTTAGCAGTCCAGGTTGCTTTGTAATCTATCACTGCAACTAATTTTTATAGTATTCCTAGCGAAAATGAGAAATACTATAACATTTCCTCAATCTTTTATTTCTCCTCTTAGTGCAAAATTTGGTGCAATATTGGAGCCTACAGAGTTCAAAGGGTTAACCGATACGTGGTTCCAGCGTTACGACGACGATCGACAAGATTAGAAACGATCGAAATCGAAAGCGTTTTTCCTCTGGTCGACGATTTCGAGGAAATCGAACGAGTCTTTCGTTCGAAAGGAACGGCGTGAAATTCGTCGGTATTTTGGAATGACCGTTACGAGGACGGGATAGGAATGACAGAAAGAGAGGGGGGGACGGAAAGGGAAAGAGAGAGGAAGAGGGAGAAAAGCCTTTGTGTCTCGCATACAATGTTATTGTATTCCCAGCACGTATAGGCAATGGGAGTTCGTTATTACGCCTACTTCCGGTTGTTGGATCGTCGCTTCGAGGTTCGACGCGCTGTTCGGTGCATCTCGAGCGCAACTTTCCTCGCAAGGATAAATTTCTTGGTAGAAAATGATCTTGTCGGTGACGCTCGGTAGCCTGCGACGACGGTTTTCGCGTTCTCCCGGAGGTTTAACGATTTTTCGCATCGAATCTCTGGGGAATTATTAGAGAAATTAGATTTAGCGATACGCGAACTGAATTATGAAGTAATCGATATCTCTACAGAGAAATTTCGAAAGGTCAATTTAGCTCGGTAGTTCTAGTGTCAACCCTTAACGGACCAATGCCGCCATAAAAATCATTTTACTATTTTTATCACTGTTGTTGTAATATTTACAAGTTAACTATTGCGCTAGCTCACTTCTGTGCGTTTCTATTCGCTGGTCTATGTTACAGTACTTGGCGGTCAATAAACTTGAAACACTTCCGGTCCGTTAAGGGTTAAACCTTTGTAAACGAGGATTCCTTAAGGTATACAAAACCTTCCGTAGATTCTGCAAAATTACGCTTCGAGTGCTGAAATGGGAAATAAGGAAACTGTACCGATTTCTTGCTATCTGAGTAGTTAAATCATTTGTTTGTTACTTAGTACTCCAAAGGTAGTTTAATGTCAGCAAAATATCGACTTGTCATGTCAGCAGTTAATTCATTTATTTCTTAGTACTCCAAAGATAGTTTGGAAAACATCGACTTGCTGTTTGAGTAGTTAAATCATTTGTATTCCTTAATACTCCAAAGAGTTTTATGTCAGCAAAATATCGACATTCGTCCATAAAGGGTGAATATTCCCCACAAGTCTTTAGAATTTTGCTACGCCGAATCGAGCGGTGAACGAGAGTCGGCTCTCGAGTGCAGAGAGAGCTCGCTCTGGGGATGGGGGAGAGGACGCGCACGGAAGAACGATCGCCGGCGAGGTATCGTTCGAAAGGTGCGACCCGATACTCGAAAATACCGTAGAGCGGCGTAGACGAGCGCGCCGGCCGGCCGGCCTGCTGGAATTTTTGAGCAGCTGCAGCCGCATACCTAAACGATATACCCGGCCAGCCCCAGGTCTACGGAAAAGACCGCTCGTAAACTCGGCCAGGATTCGCTCGGCTCGAACCGAACCGTGTTTCGTGGAACCAGCCGTGCACGACTTCTAATAGGTATCCGCCATTCAGCCATTGCGAGGATCGCGGTAACTTTACGATTGAACGGTGCACGCGTGCTCGTTTCGATTTCTACTCCAGTTGAAAGGGATCGCGACGGTTTTATATTAGACATTAGCGTAACGCGAGTAGCTTTCGGAACGCTGCGTCGCAGGCGGAAGAGGATACGCCCTATGGTTAACCCTTTGCGCTCGAAAGTTTCTCGCTGGAAATATTCAATCCTTTCTAGTCGGACGTGGACAGGATTCTTTGAAATAAATTTATCAAGAAATCATACATAAATTACGGAGCAAAGCTAT